TGTTATATTGCAGCCATTTGCTAAAATCATTTTAGTTAATTTTTTTCCTCATTAATGTACACACAGCACCCCATATTGACAGAAAAACACAGAATTGTTGACATTTTTGCAGATTTATTAAAAAATAAAAACTGAAATATCACATGGTCCTAAGTATTCAGACCCTTTGCTGTGCCGCTCATATATTTAACTCAGGTGCTGTCTATTTCTTCTGATCATCCTTGAGATGGTTCTACACCTTCATTTGAGTCTAGCTGTGTTTGATTATACTGATTGGACTTGATTAGGAAAGCCACACACCTGTCTATATAAGACCTTACAGCTCACAGTGCATGTCAGAGCAAATGAGAATCATGAGGTCAAAGGAACTGCCTGAAGAGCTCAGAGACAGAATTGTGGCAAGGCACAGATCTGGCCAAGTTTACAAAAAAAATTCTGCTGCACTTAAGGTTCCCAAGAGCACAGTGGCCTCCATTCCTTAAATGGAAGACGTTTGGGATGATCAGAACCCTTCCTAGAGCTGGCCGTCCGGCCAAACTGAGCTATCGGGGGCGAAGAGCCTTGGTGAGAGAGGTAAAGAAGAACCCAAAGATCACTGTGGCTGAGCTCCAGAGATGCAGTTGGGAGATGGGAGAAAGTTGTAGAAAGTCAACCATCACTGCAGCCCTCCACCAGTCGGGGCTTTATGGCAGAGTGGCCCGACGGAAGCCTCTCCTCAGTGCAAGACACATGAAAGCCTGCATGGAGTTTGCTAAAAAACACCTGAATAAGATTCTCTGGTCTGATGAGACCAAGATATAACTTTTTGGCCTTAATTCTAAGCGGTATGTGTGGAGAAAACCAGGCACTGCTCATCACCTGTCCAATACAGTCCCAACAGTGAAGCATGGTGGTGGCAGCATCATGCTGTGGGGGTGTTTTTCAGCTGCAGGGACAGGACGACTGGTTGCAATCGAGGGAAAGATGAATGTGGCCAAGTACAGGGATATCCTGGACGAAAACCTTCTCCAGAGTGTTCAGGACCTCAGACTGGGCCGAAGGTTTATCTTCCAACAAGACAATGACCCTAAGCACACAGCTAAAATAATGAAGGAGTGGCTTCACAACAACTCTGTGACTGTTCTTGAATGGCCCAGCCGGAGCCCTGACTTAAACCCAATTGAGCATCTCTGGAGAGACCTAAAAATGGCTGTCCACCAACGTTTACCATCCAACCTGACAGAGGATCTGAGGATCTGCAAGGAGGAATGGCAGAGGATCCCCAAATCCAGGTGTGAAAAACTTGTTGCATCTTTCCCACATGGATGTATGAGCAAAGGGTCTGAATATTTAGGACCATGTGATATTTCAGTTTTTCTTTTTTAATAAATCTGCAAAAATGTCAACAATTCTGTGTTTTTCTGTCAATATGGGGTGCTGTGTGTACATTAATGAGGGAAAAAAAATAACTGAAATGATTTTAGCAAATGGCTGCAATATAACAAAGAGTGAAAAATTTAAGGGGGTCTGAATACTTTCCGTACCCACTGTATATATAGCAATGATTAGTTGCTTGAGTCCTTTTAGTGTCATTTAGGTGCATGGAAAGGCAGTTTCCGTGCCATTCTGTGAATGTAAGGATACGTTCTGTGAAGACCAGAGAGGTTAAAATGTCTGTAAGGAATTTCTTGATAACTTGCCCCAAAATTGACAATCTCCTTGGAATTGTCAATAAGTGTTCTTTTGTGTTAATGTTGAAAACTGTTCTGTGACAGAGTGGTTTAGGCTTGCTTCAGACTGGCTAATGCTTGGGTCTGATTCATGACATCCTGTTGTCTTGGGCCTCTTGTGGAATGTTTTGACTCCTCGTGCCTCAATCATGTTTTTGACCAAATCTTAGATTGTCTGATTCGGTCTGATATCCTACAACCCTCTTTACAGTAATGCAGGACGAGGATTTGAATAATGAATCCTTTTGAAGATCTATGATTCAGTCTGCAGTTACCAGATGATTTGGCTCGCCAGCCATACGACACTCAAAAAAAAAAAAAAAAAAATCTTCATCCTAAACTGATCAATCACTGCCATTATTCTGCTTTGGCAGACAGATCTCATTCAGACAGAGTTGGTTATGCAGGGCGACGTGACCTCCAGCAACATTGATTTGCTGGACGAGCCTAACTTAAGCCTTTAAACTCATTTGAGCTCACATGTTAGTGAAGAGTTTGACCCTGTTCAGTCAAATCAGAGGCTTTTTATTATGGCTCCAAATCTTAAAAGCAACTAATGAGTTCTTATAATCCCTGGGTCCTTTACATGCTGGCTTAATTTGTGTATGATGCATTCTCTTTTCCTTATACATCATGCTCGTTTAATCTCTGTCTTTCTTTGTCTTCACAGTCTAAAGGAAAGAAGCCTCTGTTTGTGCAGCTTGTCCTGGATAATATCTGGAGTATGTATGATGCTGTGGCCATTAGAAGGTAACTTCCTATATGTTTGGCAGTACAAATGAGAAATTGACGTCAACACATGATTTGCCTTTTCACTTTGAAATTGAATGTGCTGCAAAATTATATTGATATTTCTTTATAAATGTTTTTTGTATGCAGTATGGAATTCAGTGCTATTTTTTAACTAAATCTATTACATTTCTTTTTTTAAAATAGTTTTCATTAATTAAAATAAAAATAAAAGCTGAAATTAAAAAAGGTTACAAAAAATTAACTTAAACAAAAAATAAAAACGAACTAAAATAAAATAAGTTGAAGTACTAAAGCTAAATTGAAATGTAACAATTAACAAAATTACTACAACTTAAACTACAACTATTTTCTTGGCAAGTAACAGAAATAAGTGTAAGTTTATTTGCAAAATTACTAACAAAATGCAAAAAATATGAAACAAGTACTAATTTTTTTTAAATTATAACAGAAATACGAATAAATTAAAGCAAAATAGAAATAAAAAACTAAAACTAAAATATAAATAACAAAAGCACACAACAAAATTACTAAAACTCGGTGTACAATGTTTAGTCATGAAATAAAACTTGATATAAACATTTCCACTGATTACTTCTGAATGCATAATTTCGGTCTAACTGCATAATTTATCAATACATTTTGTTTTTTATTCAAAATGGAAAAAGTCACTTTAAATGTGCATTTCCAGTTTCTTTTACATTTCGTTTACACTTTTCCAGGGACAAAGAAAAGGTGGAGAAGATGGTGACCTCTCTGGGGTTAAAGGTCATGTCTCGTGACCTGAGACACTCAGACCCCAAAGTGCTCCTCAGTGCCATCTGCAGCCAGTGGCTTCCTGTGTCTCAAGCCATGCTCTGTATCCTTTACTACACAAACACTAGCATTTCAAAATTTGGGGTCAGTAAGATATTTTTTTTTAAGTAATTTATTTAAAAAATATATTTTTTATGGAATAAATATAATTTTCAGCAGCATCATTCCTCCAGTCTTCAGAGTAACATAATCCTTCAGAAATCATTCTAATATGCTGATTTGCTGCTCAATAAATTTTTTTTTGTTATCATCAATGTTGAAAACAGTTATGCTACTTAATAATTTTGTGGAAACTGTGTTGATCTAAATCTAAAATCCAATCTAAAAGTCTTTACTGTCACTTTTGATTAATTTAACGTATCCTTGCTGAATAAAAGTATTAATTTCTTGGGTAGTTATTAGTTTTGTTGATAATTTTTAGCCTATTTTGGCGTTTATAAAATTGTAACTTTTCAAGAAATGTAATATTAGAATTTACAGCGTTGTTTCAACATCATTGACGTGTAAACATTAGGGCTGGGTAAAAAATATCGATATCTTGATATTAATCGATTCTTTTTTTTACAGAACGATATCGATTCTTAAATCCCAAGAATCGATTAGTCTAGCCTATTTTCAGATAATGGACGGAACATTGAAGCGAACCTCCCATCCAATAAATCGCAATAAGCATTGTGCCGTGGTGCTTTTAATATGAAGCAAAGTCTCTGGTTTCAAATTCTGTTCATTGTATTGCAGTATTCAAACAATAAATGCCGTTTTGGCGCTGTTTAATGTGGAGTGACAGATCGCTGTAGCGCCTCAGTTTAACAGATGCAGCAGTGTGAGGTGCACGTGAACTAATCATCTCCTCCACATTAATACCAGCTTCAGCACAAAATAAACATGACTAAACATCCGAAGGTAAGTTAAAAGAAAGATTACAACTTGACAATCTGTATCCTGTCTCATGTAATCGCTCAATCAGTGTTTCAGCCGCGCAAAGACGTCAATATAAAGTCTTGTAAACAATGTCACGTAACGTCACATTTACCTCAGAAAAAACATATTCGGTGACCATAAACTCATTAGTCGGAAAGAAAAATAAAGTGTAGAGAAGGGTGTTTTGCTAAGTATATGCACCACATAACATATTCATTATATTTTTTACTGTTCTAATGTTTAATTTATGTTTGAATAAATCCATAATTTTATGACAGCCACCATTAAAATTTTTATATTTAAAAAAAATTAAGAATTTAAGTAGAAATATTATTATGTAATTGTAACTTTATTATTTTAAAAACTTCATTGTGTAATTTTAACAGTTGTATGCTATAGCTTACAAATCAGTTCATTTTAATCTTCAATATTATAGTACTGTAGTACCAACTGACTCTCATGTATATTTTACAGCATTAGTTGAGAGATTCTTTTTTACTTGAGAAAATTTGGCATGTACTGTACCTGATATATATCCAAAATAATCAATATTGAATCTAATCGAATCGACTCGAAAGCTTGTGAATGAGAATCAAATCGAATTGTGAAATTTGTGTCAAAACCCAGCCCTAGTAAACACTGCATTTGTGATTGGTGTCTTGCATTCACATAAGGAACTCTAATTGGTCCATACTTTCTTGCATCTATAACTGTCTCTGAAAAACTGGGGAACACTGTTAAAAATAAAGGTGCTTCAAAAGGTTCTTCACAGCGATGCCATAGTAGAACCATTTTTGGTTCCACAAAGAACCATTCAGTCAAAGGTTCTTTAAAGAACCATCTCTTTCTTACCTTTTTATAATCTGAAGAACATTCTTTCGCCACAAAGAGCCTTTTGTGAAACAGAAAGGTTCTTCAGATGTTAAAGGTTCTTTATGGAACCATTTAGACAAAAAGGTTCTTCTATGGCATCGTGAAGCACCTTTATTTTTAAGAGTGAAGAAAGGTGACAAATACAGTAGATGAGAGAGATATTAGATTAGAGATATCAGCCCTATGAATATGGTGACCATACATCCCATATTTCAGCTCTATTTTTAGTGTCCCGACTTATTTTGAAAATAATCATGTTTTGTCCCGTATTTCAAAATTTCTTTACAACTGGGTGATCAGAGCAAGTCGTAGAAGTGTTCTGTCACGCGAGAACAGCCTAATCACAGGTAACTAAGCTTGTCGTAGAACAAAATTACCATCAAATCACAATTCGTTATCAATTAACTTGCAGTAAGTGAAGGCAGAATCATACTGAATGAAATATCGCACGTAAATACAGTCGGTTATAGCTTAAGTGAATGTAAACGGGTGAGTGAAAAACAGATATGTGTCAGTATATTACATTTATTCGGTCTTAAAGGGACAGCAGCCTAATTAAATACCTGTCTGTCTCATTAATGTTAATCAAACAACAAAAGATGTTAAATAAAATGTAAAATAAATGTAATGTTAAATAAATGTAATGTAAATGTATATAAATAACTATGTACGTGTGTGTGTGTATATATACACCCCCCCCCCCCCCCCCCCCCCCCCCCCCCCCTTTTAAACCAAAAAAAAACTGGTC